AAATGTGAAATTTTGAATTTTTTTCAAGATCACAGATTTATAAAAAAAAAAAACATCATACTTATGAGTCGTGGAGTCATAATTGTCACGCTCTGAGACTTGGAAGCATTTTAAGGGTAATAACAAATAACATAGCAATCTGTAGAATCTGGCGGACAAACCCTGGAATTTTTAGTAAAATTTAAAAGAATTCAAAGTGTTGATTAAAAACAAGTATTGAGAAGGATTCCCACACAGTTTTCGAAGGAGAAGAGCAGATTTCCAGAATTATTCTTACATGAAATCCATAGAAATTGTTAGATGAATTTGGAAGGATTTCTTTCGAGAAGAATGCAAGTTCTAAATTAAACTGTTAGGTAATTTTAGTAGATTTAAAAAAGAATTGTGAAAATAAAAATAAAACATGACAGAAAATTCCTACGTGGTTCTGATGAGATTTGTATGGGCATCGTAAGGAACATGACAGATGAATTTTAAGAAGAATTCCAAGAGAATTATGATCGGATTTCAACAAGAAACAGAGTTCTTAAAATGTTCTGGCAATAATTTCAACCCTAGTGCGAATGATTCATCACACAACCCAAACAAAATTGATTCCAAAAAATTTGCAGATAATTAGAAAGAAATTCTTTAAAATACTCCAAGGGGTTTATAAATTAATTTTCGAAAGATTTATTTTGTTTTGAATAGAGTTAAAAGGAATGTTTGAAAAGATTTTTAAAGGAATCAAAGTCTCCGGATAGGCGGGAACGGGAATTATATGAAGGATTCCAATAAATTCTTAGAAGGGGTTGGAAGAAAATTCCTAAAAGAATTCAACGGTAATTATTACGCGGAGTGTTTTCTGGTTTATTTCAGAACAATTTCAAGATAATTCAGAGCAGAATTCCAAGTTAATTCTGGAATTCATCATGAGAATTTTGAACAACGAAACATTAAAACCCCGGAAAAGAATAATTCAGTTTCGGTTTTTACAAATATTTGTTTCCAAACTCCAGCATCTTCAATATTTCCTTTAGAGGACCATGCACTTTACATCTGAAATTGAAACGACAAAAATCAATTTGCAATATTGCTGAGTGATTAAATTCTAAAAACAATAAGACGGTATACTGAAGAAAATTATGCAATAAATAGAGCAAGACATTCATTTGCTAAAGGATCACTCTGTTTTAATGGTTTATTCTGAAATTCTGATGTAAAAATTTGTTCCTATGATATGGTTAATTTATTTTCCCGGTTCTCTTGCAGAATTCACAGGTTTTCCCGGTTACTTTCCAAATTCCCGGATATTTCCCGGTATTCCCGGATTTCCCGGTTTGCTGGCCACCCTGAATCAATCAAAATCACTTGCACCCCTGCTTCCAAGTTTGTGTGGTCGTTGGGGGCTTGTGGTTCTGAATATGGACAAACAAGCATAGATAAATTCTATTTTAACTCTTTACTGATGTAAGCTTGATGGCCCTGAAAAGGGCCGTTTTATTGAAGAGGACATCCATGGCCACTTACGCTTGGCGTGTTTAGAGTAGGCGACAGCATCACGGACTTCATTTTCCACGAACACCTTCAGCACACCTCGTAGATCAGACCGGATATACGTCAGACACTGCGACGGCGAGCCAGACGACGGATGGTGGTTATCTCGAAGAATTTGCGATGACGATTGGCGAAAATGAGCTGATACCAGACAGCAGCGCTGCTTTATATCTTTTCAGGTGGTATAAAAGCTACAAAGACTCCTCCCATTATGAGTAGTTTGCTATCAAGTAGCGACACTGGCTATTTTCTTTTTGCGTACACGGCGAATGAGAACGCCCCAAATTTGAGTTTAGTTCACTCATAATCGCCAAAAGTGTAGGAACTCAGCGATGAGTAAATTTGTCTCATGATTTCCTGTGGAAAACCTAAAAAATCTGCCAGAAAATGAGGAAATTGACGAAAATTTTATTCAGTCTCGGAGTAGTACCAATAGACTGAGTGAATCCAATATTTACTTTTCTCAAATTCGGGAATTTTTCCCTGGAAAATCCTAGAAAAACCTGGGAAAACATGAGGAATATTTACTCATCGCTGAGTTCCTGCACTTATTTCTGAGATAACTAAACTCAAATTTGGGTCGTTCTCATTCGCCGTGATAGATATCGGCGCCAGTGGTTAGCGTAATTACCTCTCACCCCAGCAGGCCTGGGTCCAATCTCAGTCGGCGCCATCGGCATGTTCTAAGGCATAACATCTCTGGGAGCTGCCTCCCTGGCGTCGGTAGCATTGGAGCTCAGTACGGAAAACAAATCTCGCGTCTCTTTTCAATAGGTCCTATCTACATTGATCGATTCTCTTCATCGACACTCTCTTTCGTAAATAACTCGGCTTCACAAATCTGGATCAACAATAGAAAAGAGCCCATCAGCATTTGTAAACAAACCGTTCCAAAGCCCTTTACTCACAAAGCGAAGGCCACCCACACAAACCAACACCATCATCGGATAGGGGAAACTTCTACCTACAAGATGTTGGTGTTGGTTTGTGTGAGTGGCCTTCGATTTGTGAGGCTTTGGAACGGTTTGTTTACAAATGCTGATGGGCCCTATTCTATTGTTGATCCAGAAATGTTTCCTGCCGTCTTCGTCGAATTAGATGCTAGATTGTTGCTTCTTCCATCGAAAATATCCGGGCGTGGCGATTCAAAGTTGATCAAGGTTGATCTAAACAATTTGTATCCCTGCTTCCAGTTTGATCACATGAGCATTTTGTGTGGTCGGTGGTTCTGAATATGGGCAAACAGGCAGATGAATTCTATTCCTACTCCTTACTGTAATAAGCTTGGTGGCCTTGAAAAGAGCCGCTTTGTTGCCAAAGTTGGTGATGATTTAACCTCCGAAACCAAACAGAGTGCGTCTCTGTCACTTCAAAACGTAGATGACATCCATGGCCACTTACGCTTGGCGTGTTTAGTGTAGGTGACAGCATCACGGATCTCATTTTTCAGGAACACCTTCAGCACACCTCGTAAATCATACCGGAGATACGTCAGACACCGCCACGGCGAGCCAGACGACGGATGGTGGTTATCTCGAAGAATTTGCGTTTGGTTCTGAACATGGCGATGAGTGTGTAAAGTATTACGCAATTCCATCCTCCCTATTCGCACGCGCCCGAGGATCGGAGGCGAATGCCACTTCGACTTGTTTCGTCTACTTACTACTCTCTGACGACTGTGCTGGGGAAGCAGCATATGCATGTAGGTAATTGATGGATTTGTTAGTTAATTCGACGCTTTTGGACAATGCTGAACATTTACCAGTATTTCAATAGTTTCTTGTTTAAAATCAACATTCGGAAGCAATCAAAATCAAAATCAATGCGTAGCCATATTTCTGATCGATTGGTGATAAAATTATTGAAATTGGACCAGGGGTAGCTGAGTTATTAACGTTCAAAATCTTTCTTAATTTGTTACATGTTCCATTTTCGGTTTTCACAAAGTGTACCCCCATATAGAAATCAAAGACGTAGTCCTACGTCAAAAAAACACACTAAAGAATTCTATTAATCACCCTATATGGTCGGTCTCTGTCAATGCTGCCCACCGGTTCCAACCGGCCGAAAGGCTAGATTTCTGGTCTGCCTTTGAGGGCATTATAAAACACTAAGACACAGGACGTTTATTACTCTATGGATCACAAAACACCGAAAGTTCACACACCCGCCACTTCCCGCGTCATCCTCAATCCGATTTATTCTTGCGATTTCAAACCAAAGCATTCAAGGTGTCAGAAATACCGGATTGCCGGGATGGGTATTTTACAAACAATCGCAGCTTGCTCTATGGCCGACACAATCGGCATACTTGCGGCACACTGACAAAAAAGATGACCCAAGAATGCAAGAAATAAATGTTTAGAGTGGGATGCCCCTTGTAAAATAATGTCAATATTATTGCTCCGTTCAACGAATAATTCAAGCATAACTTTTCAAAAGGACGTATGTAACATTGGATAGGAAATTAGAAACATTGGATAGCAATGTCCATATGAGATTATTAAATGCTATTTAAAAGTTAATGCTATTTTTTTAAATCTGTTTGTGCTATTAGTTGGATAAAGGGATAGCGTTTAAGAGAATTGTGAAAAATGTCGAGTTTTGCAAACACGGACAAGACTTTTGATAAAACAAAATCATACACCTTTTACTTGTGTACTACTCACATACACCCTGATTGATTCGTCGGTATCACACCTTGATTGTTACATACACCCTGCATGATTCGTCTATTTGACAGAAGGGTTTTCACATACGTCAAATCAGATACACCGGTTTTTGTTTTGCAGTGAAGATACGTCGGCAGCTCGAAAAGCATTGAGGAATTGTCGGTTTATTTACATAACTACACAGAGTTGTGAAATAATCGATGTTAAATGCGGAGATGAGAGGGTCTGTCAGATGTTTACGTTTTGTGTTTTTCGTGTTAAGAAAGCGATGGTCAGATTGGTATGTGAAGTTCAATATTAAAGTCAAGATTAAAGTGCAATTTTATTAGAATACTTTTGAAATAATAAACATGTTGCTCCCGGAAATCCAAAAACAAACATACAAACTTGACGCATTTGCTGGTTGATAGTGGTTGCTTTGTTTTTTTCACATACGACGCTTCACTGTGAGCGTATCTGCAGTTTTTGTGTTATCATCAAATTTTAACAGTTAAGTCATGTGGACAATAAAAGGGTGTATCAACACCATTTTAAAAACAATGAAAAAAGGTCACATAGGGCGTTCATTAAATATATTTTCCATAATTCATTACAATTTCAAACCTTGTTTTTCATTAACTCGTAGGAAAAGCATGTATTTTATATTCGGTTAGATGCAAAATATCGATTTGTTTATTTTTGCGACTTACGTCCTTTTGAAAAGTTATGCTTGAATTGAACACGACTTAACAATTTGTAAACGCAGCAGGCAACGTCTTCCTGATAAACTTCAACTGTCCCCGTCGAATTCTGTCCCGAATACGATCGAACCATGATAACCGGTCATCGTTGTACCCTTCGCCATCACTCAATAACCCATCTGGCACCAATTCTCCCGGGAACATCGAAATGGGTTAAGCTTCGACGATTTATCCGCACTTTGATGCTGGTCTCGCCAGAGCATCCCGAAACGAAGAACTACCTGAAAAGCTACACTCAGATATCGAACGAAAACAAACGCCAGGTTGGTAGTCATCCTCCGTACGTGATCCATCCATTCAGCACCTTTCGGCAGTACTGGGACATGGTGGTGTTTGTTGCGTTGACGCTGCATCTGCTCATGTTGGCATTTGATTTCACTTTCCTGATCTTTCAAGAGGTATCGGCATACCAGGGAGCGATACGGTTCGATCTGTTTCTGTGCGGCGTTTTAGTCCTGGAGATAATGCTGAAGTTCATCACGGGATTTGTGATAAAGGAAACCAATGAGATCGTGCTGGATCCAAAGAGGATTGCGTTGAACTATTTGAAATATGGCCGATTGGTATATGACATGCTGCGGAGTTTGCCGTACGTATTGCTGTTGGACACTTTCAACCGACGATATTACCGGTATGCGGTGGAAATTTACTTGGCGTTTATAATTTATTTGTACGCAATCAACATCTTCCGGTATCAAGAAATCTTCAAGTATTTCAAGGTCTGATGAATTTATTTTAGTTTTCAGTTGAGCGTATTCTAAGAGTTATGTTTCATTTTTTAAAATTGTTACAGATTCTGCCGAGGATGCTTCGTATTGGAGAAAAGAAGATCCTTGTCATGAAGCTAGTGATGAATACCATATACGTGCTTCATTGGAGTGCTTGTTTGCGATACATCCTACCGGAGTTGACGATCGTGATGCAACCGAAGAGTTCTGATATACTGGGATTATCTCGTTCAGAAGATCTCAACGAACACTTCACCGTTGGTCACTTTCTTGTCGATGTATACTGGCGACACTTTCGACATGAAGATTCCGTTCGCTATCCGATAGGACGTAGTCGAATGATCGTCGAACCTCCCAGTTTTAAAATGTACGTGCAGTACTACTTTGATAATCGGCCCATAGACCAGCGGATCGTTGATCGGAATTTCGTTCTGATGAAGCTGTATGACATCCGAAAAAACGCTAGCATATTTGAAAGATATCTGGAGAGCATGATGTCAACGGTGAAGATCTGCCTGCAAGCTGGAAGAGACGAAGATGCCGGAATACATTTCATCAATAACATTCTGACGTCGTTTCTCCTGCTAGGAGGCTGGATCTGGTTTACTTACATCCTGCTAAGCATGGTTCGTTTGATAGTGTCTTCGGAAATGAGTCAAACAAAATACGAAGAGTTTGTCAACGAATTTAAAGCGTTTTCGTTCAACAAACGACTTAGCAATGTCTTTAAGCGGAGGCTGCTGAGCCATCTGGATTATCGGTACAGGAAGCACTATTTTAACGCGGATGCAATTCTTAGGACCATGTCTGACAATTTACGAAGAAGCATACAAATGGAGATTTGCTATCATTTGCTCAAGTACGTAGAGATGTTTCGGGGATTGCCAAGGTCCGTGGTGGAAGATATTGTCGACAATTTGATGTATGAAATCTTTCTGGAAGGAGACAAACTCATTGAAGCCGGTACTCAAGGTGATTCAATGTATTTCATAGCGTATGGAACCGCTGCTGTGTACTCTGCAGGAGGCGTGGAACTTGGGCATTTGATCGATGGAGCTCACTTTGGAGAAATGTCAATTCTCAACAAGGGGAATCAAAGGACGGCTACAATTGCAGCACTGGAAAACTGTGAAGTGTACAGATTAACGTATGACAATTTTCATAAGCTGATTGAACGACATTCACATCTGCTTCTCGGGATGCACAAATTGGCAGAGGAACGAGTAGCAAAGGCAGAGAAAGATAGACAGAGTTTACCAGCGTCGGAAGTGTACGATAATTTTTTGCAATAAATTAATTAGTAGAGTAATTATGCAGCAATGCTTCGTTTCAAGATCCGATTTTGTAATGAGCTGATTTGGTATAAGAAATTTCACTGTTTTAGTAACATATAAATGGATCTGGGTCAGTGTCTGTTGTTATCATTTACCATCACACGCAAGGAGTAGCACTTCCACCCAGTGTAGATGAATTGCGTTCTATTTGAATATCTTCGCTGTGAAGTACGAGCGAAACAAACAAATGAGTTCGTTATACATCAATGAATACCCGTTTGTTAATATTCACCACTGCTTGATTATCCAACCCAAAATTGTCAAAATCAGAAGCGATCCTCAAAAGCATAGTAATCAAATTCATTTTGAGCAAAATGATTATTTTGAATATTGTCGACTCCATAGACTAAAACCTAGATATTATCATCAATTCAGCATGACGCAATAATTTTTCATAAATCTGTGTATAAAAACCAACACAACACGTTCTTCAGCGCTGTATTTGTGCAATTTGAAAATAATCATTTTACATTTGATCCTCAAAATCATCACCACCAAGGTGAAGATGAATATTGATATTGACAACAACACAGGCGATAATGAACATCCAGCCACGAATCAATAAAAACAAATGTTGACTTCGATACTCATAAGTTGCCTTGATCAAAAGAATGTTTTTATGTCAAAATCCAAAGGCATGAAGGTAGGTTGTCTTCATTTTTAGCTAAGTTGAGGGTAGATGGAATGATTTTTATCAGCACTGATCTGGGTTATTAGGTTATATAGTACCTGAACAAAGTCCAACCTCAAAATGATAAAATTTATATCAACCTGCAATTGAAATCAAAATTTTATTTCAGTTTACTTACGTTTCGCTAACTTAAAACACAATCGGACAGATGATAATTTCCCCTAACTGTTAATTTTGTTAGTTTGCGTTCAACAAACGGCTTAGCAACATTAAGCGGAGGCTGCTGAGCGATCTGGATTATTGATACAGAAAGCAGATGCAATTCTAAGCAAGACTTTTTCAATTGTTGGTCTTCAATAGTCACCGCGAGTGAGGTGACTCTCCGTTTGATTTGCACGGAGAGTCACTTCACTCGCTGTGACTTTGGCATCTCACTAGTGACGGCAAGTCACCTTACTTCATTCGCGGCGCAGAATAAGGAGGAGTGTCTTTTTACATCAAACAACAACTGGAAAAGTTGTAACAGTTTTTTTTAAGGGGGAGTTCACCGCTCCGAAAAAATAATTGCGTTTTGATTTTTCTAAAAAATTTATAAAATGTATCATAAATCAAAAAAAATATTTAATTTTTCAAAGAAAATTCACGTGCAAAAACATTTTTTATAAGTCATTATGGCGTAAAGTTGGACTCAAAAAACCACACAACATAGATTTTTTGGTTTTGCTGAGGGTCCAATTTTTTCCATGATGAGATAGAAAAAAATGTTTTTGATGTAATGTTTTACAAAAAAATTAAGGAAGAAACTGATTTTCTTGGATTTTTGATAATTTTTCCCAATATTTTTAGAAAAATAAAAACGTATCGAAACTATTTTTTTTATTTTCGGGTCGGTAAACTTCCCCTTAAAGGGAAGCTTACCGGCCCGAAAATAAAAAAATATTTTCGGTACATTTTTATTTCTTTAAAAATATTGGGAAAAAATATCAAAAATCAAAGCAAATCAGTTTGTTCCTTAGATTTTTGTCAAAAATTAAATTTAAATTTTTTTTCTATCTCATCATGAAAAAAAAATTGGACTCTCAGCAAAACCGAAAAGTCGATTTTTTGTGGTTTTTTGAGTCCAACTTTATGCCATAATGACTTATAAAAAATGTTTTTGCACGTGAATTTTCTTTGAAAAATTAAAAAAATATGTGATTTTCTTAGAATTTTGATATCTTTTTCCAATATTTTTAGAAAAATCAAAACGTAATTATTTTTTTCGGAGCGGTGAGCTTCCCCTTAAGGGCCAGCGTAGAAGCAAAAAAAAAAGGTTCAATTTCGCGATTTGTTTTTGCGAACAGAAATACTATAACTCGGTTTTGAGCATTTTATTGAAAATATTTTAAATAACATTTTCCCAAATTTTGGTTCTTGAAATGCGCAGCGAGGTGGCACTAAAGTTGTTAAAAAGATGGCATCCCCGGCATGAAGCAGTTTGCGGGCGGAAACAATGCAGCCGGAGTTAGTCCTAGACAAAAAAAGATATGAATTTCATAAACTAGAATGTTTAAATTAGTGAAGTACCTGGACGATTGTAAAAATATTGATTTTTGACAAAATGGCTTGCGATTGAAAAAAGTGTTCTGATTTTCAGGCAAAAATATCAAATTTAGTCGTTAATAACAAAAAAAAAAAACGCAGGTACTTCACAAAAAAACGTATGTAGAACAAGCTACAAAAAATCAAGTGGTAACCATAATTCTGAACAGCTAAAAGTTAGCCGAGACACGACCGAAGATCGTGCGATATTTACTCGATGTCGGATGCGACATGAAGCATGAAACAAACTCTATCTCGTTTGCTCTGTGACAATACGAGCAGCAGTGAATACATTGTGTCGCGAGTATAACCGCCTCTAATTGTAGGCAGCTCAGAATAAGCTGAGAAAACTCAGGCCTCTTTCGCCAATCGTTCGTCAGTCGGAGCAGTTCAGTGTATTAGATAGTGAAGTAAAACAGAAGAATAGTACTCCCCATTGTACTGGGTCAGAAAAAGTTATACTATTGTTAAAGGTGAGTGAAAGCCAGAAGTGGCACAAGGCGCAATTATTAAATAGCCTAATTTTTATTCTCGTTAAAGAACTGCTCCTCTTTTGTAAAACCAGATCGGTTTCAGAAAGATCCTGAAATTTGCAGGATTATAGAAAGCATCAGGTAGGAAAAACCTTTGAGATTAGTAGTGCTGACAACCAGTGGTAAGACGATTTCGTGGTTCGTTTGAAGGTTGTTTAAACCTTCGAACAAAGGTTTTTTTGTTCGGTCTAAATTCACAGGTTCGAGACTTTTCTCCACACCGAAAACGCCACGCGGGAAGACCAAGCTAGTGCTAGTGATCTAACCTCCTATAGGAAGGAGAGCCCCCTCGTGGACACATAGTGTTCGCTTAGTGCACTGCCATTAGTAGTCCGTAGGGGACCACGCTAACTCCCTGAGCCATAGGACGCAGAGTGAGAGTGTTCGAAGACTTCGAATTTGTTCGTCGTACGCTTGGCCGTGCTCACCGCTCCGATCTGATCCGTAGGGACCCCAGCCAAGGTCCTGAGCCAAAGGAATTCCGACACTCCTCATCTGTTACCGCATGCTTCAGTCCGTAGGGGCCAACATCAATCGCCCTGAGCCATAGGACGCAACCGTCGCCCGAAACGGCCTCAGTTGCCCTTTCAGACCGTGCTCACTCACCGGTCTTGCCGATCCGTAAGGGTTACACGTCACAAACCCCGAGTCAGTGGACGAGCAACGGACGGTTGGATAGAAATAGTTCCCCGCCACGTGGCATCGCTTTCATCATCCTTGCGGTGTGTCACCCTGCGTACAACAACCTGCAAGCTTGGCTTCGAGTTTGGTGAATAGTACCATCCTGCGGCCTATCGCCGTGAGTAGCAAGAGTCGCCTGCGGCCCATCGCCGTATATACCAGTTCGCTTGCGGCATACCGTCGCTAATATCATCGTCGACTGCGGCACTCCTGCCGCTGCAATCAACGGGTCGGTGGCCTCGCACCGCTAGGACCTGCCCATCGTAGGCCGACAACAGATCGGCGAGAGAAGGATAACTGTTGTCTCGACGTTTCAACCATCCTTTGCGGCTTCGTCGTGCATCGTGCGACTTTCATCGCCACGTCTATCAGCAACAACTTCAGTGTCACGTCACACTACGGCGTCTTGGTTGTCCAGCAGATGATACAGGTTAGACTTTCACTATTTTCTCTCTCTAAAATCAATCAAACGGTCAGATGATGAAATTATGTACGCAATCCCAAATGTGAGATTATCCAGCATGCATTGAATATAAGCTTAAAATGAGTGAGCATTAGTTTTTGTGAGCGATGCTCGATTGTGTGGAAGATCCTTGAGTTATTGAGTCCGATTACTACAGTTTTCGCATAACTTCGCATCAAACCCCTTATTTGGAGTTTGTTGGCGCTTAAGCGAAGTTTGTACAGCAGAAAGGCTGTGATCAGTGTCTGCTCGGCCGGTTTTTTGGTGTTTAGTCTGTTTGGTTCAGCAATGAAAAACATGGTTTTGATTAAACATAAATTTCATGCCGGGAGCTCGCAGGCAGTCCCCTAGTCTACGCCCCAAAATAATGCGAAAGAATGTTTCCCGGGTATAAAAACAATTGTCCCGTATTCTTTAGTCTGGAAACTATCATTTAAGACAAAAAAAAATCCATTTTTGAACCCGCTACAGTGGCCTAACCCCTGAATGCTAATTGAATACTCGTTTTTTGTCAACAGGAGAAATCTACTTTCACTGATAGCAGCATTTTCTCAATCTATACATTTTAACAGCTAAGACGGCCAAAACGACAGCTACATGAGCTATCATGATTAGCTACATTACAACATCAAAGTTAGTTTATATTTATTTATTTATTTATTTATTTATTTATTTATTATTCTCTTCATCGGACTTTTGCTGCCTACATGAAATTGATTAGAAAAGCCTATTTGGCAAATAGTTGCGCAAATAGGCATATAAACCATATCTAGATAGAGCTGGAATTAGGACGTAACAGCCTTTGTAATCAATGACTTTTATCGATGATTTATATGAACTCAAGGCATGCCCACACAAGTCATTATAACCGTCGGGTAGGGGTAGTCGTCTCCTACCCGGTGGAGTTGTTGATTTGCGTTGGAAAATCTTAACTTTCTAGAAAGCATCGAAAGAAGTAATTTTTTACAAAAGCTGTTACGCCCTAATTCCAGCTCTATCTGTAACAGTAGGGTAGATGGCAAGGCAAAAATAGCAGAAAACAGTAGATAAATTCACTAAACCATAGTTA